CTCTCTGCTCCACTTCTCATAACAGACCAGCTTGTCATTGACCCAGAACCACAGATCCAGAGTGCAGGAGTAGCGCAGGCCGAGCCAGACAAAAGGACTCGAGGCATTCTTGGCTATCACCTCCACCCATCTCTGTTGGTAAGGGTTAGTGATGGAGACCAGTCCCCTGTGAGACTCTCTGCAGTAATCCAAGGCCTCCTCCCAGGTCTTGTTTTCTTTGATCAGGATCAATTTATCTGCCATAAAGAAAAAAACAACACATTGAGTTAAATCTATGTGAGCTGTCAACACGAGAAACTCTCTGTGCTGTTGATTTTATTCCAATGAAACAAAAACTACATAAAGCTTGTGTCTTGCTCTGCCCTCAGTAGAAACCAGTATAATAACAATAATGAACTTTGTGCAACATCCCGAAATATTTATGTGTTTTTAAACTATTAGGAATCTAAAACAACTTCTCTCCATATTTACAGACAACAGAGACTTTAAAACGTTGGTTGAACATAAAAGTAGCTCAAAGTTATCCCACAGATATTTAAAGTCATCTGACTGTCAACTAAGTGTGTTCATGTTTATGAGATGAATTCAGCAAACATGCAGATGTAGGAGGAGGAAAAATATACAACATGTTCAGTTGGATCTTGTCAGTGATTCCAGTGATCCTCCTCTTAGAGAAACCAGTCAGTCACATGTTGATAAAAACTCACCATCATAACAGAAGAAGGATTTTTTTTTTGCCACATTCATCAGAGCTCCATTTTCCTGATCTGTTTAACAGAGTCATAGCACATGTCTTGTTGCTTTGTTCATCATTGAATAACTCCATATCCCAGTATCTGAAAGAGGAATTACTCCAATCTGACCACCTCCAGCTGTCTCTGAACAGACCGACCCATGCAGTAAACTGAGAGCTCTTAGTTGTAATCAGGGCCTTCATTTCTTCTCCATCTACCTGATCGAGTCCACTGGCCAAGTCAGTGTAAATTGATCTTCAGTAGTTCTGAGCCTGTGTCCAGTTCTCATATGTTGTTATCAAATACAATGTTTTATTGTCTTTCTTCCTTTCTGTAAAACAAACAGAAAAACACACAAAGACATCCCTCAATTATTTGTTTGTCTTTTTTCTAAATTTACAATTATGTGATTCAATTATCAGAAATCAGAAATCAGAAATCAGAAAGGGTTTATTGCCAGATGTTGAGCAGGTTTACAAC